AAACATCAGTTAATATTCCATTCAATGCAAATAGAATCAACAAATAAGATAGAGTAAAAAAAGAACAAGCACCGAACTCTCGAAGCCATAAATAAATTAAAAGAAAAAAATGCAAGAAATGAAATTGACCTGGTTCAGAACAACAATTAAAGATTTAAAATCACACACCGAAAAAAAAAATGGGCACGCAACGTGCACCACTCGTAACAGAAAATGTAATGTACATGAAAAGTCGTGAACGATGCGAAGTACCTGACAGGCTGACACTAATATCACACATGCAAAATGTAACATGATACAATGTACCCTACTGCTAATGCACTGGCATCACATGTCGAAAAAAATACAAGAAACAGTTGTTTACAAGTCATGTCGTAGCTGTCGAGATGCTATACAGTCTGAACTCAGTCTGCTGCAACCGACGACACTCTACAAACACCCTATTGGCACCAAAATCATACTCTACGAACACCCTACTGGTACCAAAATCATACACACCAACAAGTAAAGCACGCACACAACCACTGAGTGTCTGACAATACTGAGACAAGACGAGACGACTCAGACGACCAAAAAAACTACGACCACACAACATGACGATGTACAGTGCGAGTAGGGGAGAAGCGAAGTGTCGGCCTCATCGGTCAACGACCCTTCTTCCCCTTCCCGCTGTGTCTCCTCGTACCCCCTCGAGTGCCGGATATCGACCTCTTCCTCCCTCGTGAGGATGAAGAAGTCCGTGCAGCGGAGCGTCTAGATGCACGCGTCGGTGGGGGTCCCGGGGGAGGTGGGGGCTCATCATAGTCGTCGTCGTCGTCACCATCGGAACCGCTCCTGCTCTCCTCCTCTCCCCCCTCCTCGCCCTATTAGTCCTCCTCCGCCTTCCGCACAGTCGCATCCATATCAGGATCATCCTCCTCGATGGTGACTGGGCCTCCTCCCTTCCTCAACACAACAACCCTCGCACTAGCCTCTGCAATGGTCTGCTCACGGCAGGATCCACGAGGCACCCCCAACCCCTCCGCCCCCGAACTCTCTCCAAGTGCAGTGCCTCCCTCTACAGGCACGGGGCATGGACGAGGAGGTACTCCACGCTTGCGTGGAGTCTGCTCCTGCACGGCACTCGTCGCTGCTCTCAGAGTGTACTCCAAGGTCTCGGTCGACACTCCTCTGCCTCGACCTCGCTGAGGCTCACAACCTGATGTCGGTACCTCCCTCGCCGCGGTCGTCCAGGCGCCTCCTCCTCCCAAGCCCGACTGAAGGCATGTAGTGTGCTCCGTGACATGGCGAGTGGAATCCAAATCTATGTTTGTTCTCTTGAATATCGCCATGTCACACACGTCCTGCTGAACTGTTGTCGTGTCACGAACCATGCATCTCCCAGGCGTGTGTGGGGATCGAGAGCCTCTGCCTGTGGGCGACGATGATGGATCAACTACAGGTGCTCTAGGAGGAGGGGGTGGCATGTCTCCTGTGCGTGGTGCTGTCTCCGTCACGCCACCTGAAACCCCTGGAACATGTCCCGCGGTATGTCCTCCGGTGGAGGTAGACCCAGACCACACGGGCGACACAGGACCCCATGGAACCGAAGGGATCGTCTGCCATCATGATGCTGGATGCTCGAGCCTCCGGTCGAAGATCCGCCGGTCCAATCGAGTAACATCGCGCACAACCTCTCTCGCCAACTCCTTTGCATCCAAAGGATGACGGACCTCCTGCGGAGCAAAGTGGCTAGGAAGACGTGGGTGCACAACCACTGGCTCGGACCCCAAATCCGTGATAACAGGTGGTGATACACCATGCACTGGCATCTGAACCGCCTGCGACTGTCGGCCCTGAGCCAAGTGAAGGCCCGAGAACGGAACGACTGGACCCGTCGCTGTCTCCTGGACCTCGCGCCGTGCGTTTATAGCCCCCTCGACTCATCGCTGTCCTGCCTGCACACCCTCATCCACCGCCTGAGGCCGTCCCTCCACAGCAACGTCCGTTGCCTCTGCTCCACCCAGCATAGCCTCGGGTACCGGCTCTGCTGCCATTCCCTCCGCAACGTCCTCCCCCGCCACCACCCCACCCTGCACACAATCCCCCCCTATCTCTCGACGCCTGACCTCCTCTACGGCCCGTGCGAACGCCTGAGCACGCGAGTCATTCGATGCCAAAATTCGAGCCCTCTCTCGCTCAATGATGTCGTGTGCTGCATCAAGAGACTCAGTCGTCGTCCTCTCTCGCGTGGTCTGTGTAAAAGTCTGTCCTGGTGCCTCGTCCCTCGATGGAGCCCGGTCTGTCGATGTCGCCCCGCCGCAACTAGGTGGAAGGCCCATCGACAAATCTAAGTCTAAGTGGGTCCCCATCTCCGAATCCGAAATCCCAAACCCCCTCGCCACACCCGGGGTTATACCCGCTATAACCGGATCGAGCTCCTCCGTGAGAAACTGCTGCATTAGGCGCTCGTCATCGCCCCCACGCTGCACCTCGGCCTGTGCGGCTATCTCCTCCTCCACTGGTCCTGGCACCTCCCCCTCCACTGCAGCTGCCGACGGATCCTCCTCCTCGTCCACTGCTGCTCTCACCTTAACACCTGCTCCTCCTGTTGCTGCCATCTGCCCCTCCACTGCTGCACCTCCTCCTTCCGTTGGTGGATCCTCCTCCAGCACTAATGATGCCATCTCCTCCAACACTGATGTTGCTGCTGCTGTTGCTATTCCCTCCACTGCTGCTGCCGACGGTGCCCCCTCCTCCTGCAATATCCCCGGAGAAGGTGGCGGACTGCCCCGCCTCTGTGGAGAAGTCCGCGCTGAGGCAAAGAGGACCCCAACTCCTCCTGTCCTCCGTTGCCGTGGTCGGCTGAAGTGGCGAGACGGGTGATGGTGGTGCAAGACTGGGAGCAGGAGGTGGCGGCATGGACGAATCCCGCCTCGTCGGAGTGGGGGTCATCGCCTGTGCCTCTGGGCCACCCGTGGAAGCGACCTCACCGAACGGGCCCCAAAACTCCCCCTCTCCCCCCAGCATCTCCCTCTCCGCCCGGTCCGCCGCCCGTGGTGCAGTGTGTGCCCTCGTCTCCTCAGAGTCGGGATCCTCGTGCGTCTCGTCGATCTCACGGGGAATGCGGCGCGCAGGGTCATCTACCGCCTCGCGTACCGGCGCCTCGTCTGAGTCATCCTCCCTGGGGTAGGGACGAAAAATGCAAGCACGTCTATCGAAAATGGCATCAGCAGAGGGTGTGCGGACGCCTCGAAGGGATCCCCGGTAATGAGTGCAACCTGACGGGCAATCTCCTCCTCCGTCATCCCCCATGCGAGTCCCCGACCGCACAGGCTCCAACTCGAGTCCTGCCTGGCAATCCAGCATGCCCTCGTCCCGCTCCCATGGCAGCACATAACCGCATCCAGCCCACCGATACTCAGTCAACCGCACATTTGCGGTGATCTCAACGAGTTGAACGACCTTCTCGAAGGCCAACTGGTTGCGCTTCTTCGTGTGAATGCCCTCGTGGACTGCCCAGTTTCTCTCCGCTGGAGAGGCGCAAGACCACATGTGCATCACCCAAAGAGCGCAACGCTGCAACTCTTGCGCGCCTGACCCGAACTAAGACCACCAAAACGCGCACTCAATCGTCTCGTTGTCGCCGCTGCACGCGCGCCCACGAGCATGCCCCTCCGGCCCGCCCCAATCCCCGAACCTGCCCTGCCGAATGTGGAGGTTCTCAAACTGCCGACATGCAAGGATGTACTCCGCACCCTCCAACTCGAATCCCGTCTGCGTCAAAATGTACCTCTTGGCTTGCCCCACAAGCCAAGCATCGTACCGCTCTACCTGGCCCAAAAAGTAGCGAACATGTCGCCTGCGGGGGTTCAGTAAGAACGCTGCGCAGTGAGCCGGCTCAAGCATGTGCTGTGTGCGAGCCTGCACACGCCTGATGATCCGGTCAGCGAACGACTTCCCCAAAGGGGCACATGCGTCCATCACACGGCGGACAAGATCATGCATCCACTCGATCATGAGGGACATGTACTGTCCTCCACGATCCATCCGCCTAAGCAACTCCATGACGGGCTGCATGATATGGACGATGGTGGCCACCCTCTGCCACCATATATCCCATCTGATCTGTCGGCGCACCCAACGCGCCATGACGCACACATCGGAAGACCACGGGATGGAAGAAAAAGTCTGCGCGTCATCCCCTCGCATCATGTCCTGCAGAGTGTCCTGCAGGGCCAACAACGTCTATAGCATGGAGTAAACACACGCAAACCGCGTCTCGCAAGAAAGAATAAGCCCCTTGTCGGGGCTGCGCGTCCTAAGAAAATGAAGGGCGGCCTGGTGGGTTTTGAAAAACACCACCAACACACGAGCGCGTGTGATCGCGTCCACAAACACGTCGCAACTCGTCCCCATGTCTGACCACAATTTGTTGCATACATGGACAGAGCACGTGAGCCAGGTGATCCTCCTCAGTGCAGGAGGCATGGACGGCGAGGCCAATGCCCTTCCAGCCCCCACATAGGCAGAAGCGGAGTCAGTGCATATCGCATTGATCCGCTGCGGCCTGCCGAAGCTGAACTTGTGGAAGATGGTAACCCATCTCCGAAGGACATGCACTGCATTGTCCGCCTCGCCCTCTCGATTGATCGTCGTGTACACGACGACCCCTCGCGAGCCAGCGACAAGGAAATTCACGATCGGTCTCCCGTCTCGTGATTTCCTCCCATCAGAGAGGAGGGTGGCACCAGTCACCGAGAATGGCTGCCTCACCTCCTCCAACTCCTCCTCCAACTCCGCACGGTGGGTCTCCACCGCCCTCATACTCGCAATCTCGCTGTGGTTGGGGAGCACAGCGCGTGGGGAACTGCAAGGCTGCTCAAGAAGCACCTGTTGATATGCCTTCCAAGCTTGGTTGCGGAAGGCATTGAAGGAGACCCTGCTGGAATACAGCCAGCGAAGGAATGCCTTCTTGTGGTGAGCAACCCACTCGCCACCGTAGACATCAGTCACCTTCTGCTGGCGAAGCCTCGTTCCTGCTGGGGTTGCAGCCGGATCACTTCCTCCTTCCTTCCTCTTGGAAGACCCATCCGTTGCAACTTCCTTGCTCGCTTGCCTCCGCCAGTCCTCCAACCTCTCCCCAGTGCCTGGATAAAACTCTGTCACGTTGTCGAGCGCATCGGTCCCGCACGGGGACCCTTCTGGCCGCGTCACGCAGGATTTGGCAGGACTTGTCGCGGAGACCGTTTGCCGCTCCGGCCGAGTGCGCCAGCCGTACCTCTCGCGAGCCCCTACGACAGGACAGGGTCACGCGAGGCACAGCTACCTCCACCTGCGGGAGCTGTCACCATCCCTTAGGTGGGCGTATCCCCGCCGAGCTACTGAACCACATGCGAAGACTTTTCGTATGCAATTGTAGAGGTGGCTCAGCCGATGGCGTTTCTCGTTCGCTGTAGCATAGGGGGTACGCACGGTCGAACGTCCAAAATCGAACCCGCACGCGAGTCGACGTTCTGGGGGGCTGACGTCCCAAACGCGACTCGGCATCGGTCGACTAGGACGCATCGCACACACCCCGCATTACACCACAACACTCACATCTACCCACACATAACGCATAGACACACACAAAACAAGTATCACAAACAACACCACAACACCACAACACTACAACACTCCTAGTCCCTTCAGTATCCGACCCATAACTTTATGCAGCAAGAATTAGATAAGTATCGTGCGCTGGGTTCCCGTATAAGTGCCGGGCGAGCGCATGGCCTCCTCATATCAACCAGCCATACGGACATACGCAACCATTTGTGCTGGTAGGGTACTATGTGGTACTCGTAGCCTTGCAACCCTTGATATTGTCGAGGGTCGCGTTCGACACTCAAGTGTCGGCTGATAGGAGCTTTGAGGGGTAATCTCTCGACGCCATACAACCGCCATGTGCGGTTGAAAACCACACCCTCTTCGGCACCCTGTGCAGAGGGGTTGAGTAGAAAACTCTAAGCTGTCGTGGCGGTCAAATATCAAGGGGTTTGACTTTGACGGCTACCACAGACTACAACGTCCAACCCTAATAACTCTAAAAAGCAAGAATTAAGCAGGGACCTCTCTTTTCTCTCAGTGCAACTCTTACTTAATCACCATGCGCGGCCTCAACGGGTCGTGCGGACATAAGAAGATATGATGTAAAAGTTAGGAGATAGGAGACGATCACTCTCACAATCACGGTGTGGCTTCCTTCGAATATATATATACACATATGATCCTACGCAAAACCAAGTTTGGACTTCAATTCACATACCTGTAATCACATCAAAAACCCGCATCAACAGAGAACACACTATACGGGGTCAACTTCAACCATTCTTTGCGCTCACACCCCTCGCTTTAGCCATACAAGCCTCATTCTTTGTGCGACTCTCAAAATAAAATACTGAGCGTCTTTATTAAATAGCCATTCAATTAAAGTACGGGTAAAAATAGAACAAAACAACACAAAACACAGGGCTAAAACATGTAGGTTGAGTAGCAAGAGTGGATTAGAGTCGAGCCGGAAACCGGCCTGTTATCAAAAGATAACAGAAGATGATCTTTGTAGGATCAGCTTGAAACTAGTCAAGCCTTGAATCAATCTGAATAAAGATGACCTGCAATGCAGCACAGGCCAGTACCCAAACCATGCTTGAGTGATCAAGAAATAATCCCACCTTTCTAACTAACCTCTGATATTTATCTAAAAATATAGGAAATTTCGGCAGCATATCCCCTAAACAGGATGGATTGCCAGATCTTTCATAGCTGAAAATACTCTAACTTTTTAAATTCTGCAAAATTTCGGCAGCGCTTCCCGTAGGAAAAGTGTCTTCCCAGAATTTCTACAAGTCCAAAAATGACTAACTCTTTCGAATTTGTACAAATTTCGGCAGCGCTTCCCATAGGAAAAGTGGGCTACCAAGATTTATACAAAGCTGAAAGCAAAAACGCAAGACAAAACTATACCTAGGACTAACTTCTAACACCTGCTTGATAACTTAGGCTCAATATTAGTCTGCATGCCCTCTGAGTGAGACCATGAGCCAATGCTGATCCTAACCCTCAACAGAGTCGGTCCTATCTCATCCCAGACTTCCCTCCCATCATTCATCTTACCTACCTATGGCTCCAGCACTTGGCGAGCATCTACAGCAACTACTGTATCAAAGAGAATACCCCAAAGATGACCTTCAAAAACATGCATAGGTGAGTGCAACATCTCTCACCAACCCTCAGGTTCTTTTCCAGGTCACATAGTTCGTTCAAAAACCCTCATTATTCTCTTTTTACCCTTCCTTACATAAGACATAGGGTCAGTCAACCCAACTTATGGATGTGACAGACCTGCCAATTTATATGACCAGGCCACACCAACTTATGGTGCCAGTCTGGTAACACAAATATACGTAGGGCATAGGACCAAATCACACCAACTTATGGTGTCACCAGTTTTTTCCTAGACGATCGACATAAGGCGTATGACCGGGCCGCACCAACCTATGGCAAGGCCGATCAGCCTGAACGTTCGACATAAACAAAGAACTGAATCACCTCAACTTATGAGGGGTCCAGCCTCTACCTAAACAAACGACGAAAGGCATATGATCAAAACATAACAACTTATGTTGTGCCTTGGCCAGCCAAACACTGACATATAGCATAAAACTAGGCTACTCAACTTATGAGTAGTCTAGCCCTGCCTAAATAATAACAAGCGCGTGTGGCCGAACAACCCGCAACTTATGCGTTCGCCCAGCCTCCACAACACAACTACATCCAATAGGTAGAATCACAATCAAATTTTGTCTTCAGGCGAGCGGTCAGGTCATCTCAACTTATGAGGATCCCCACCCAAACGTCGGTTATGTTTAGAAAAAGAAAATATCCACACTTTATATACCTCTCTGCTTTCGTGCTATCAAGGGCATAAGACCAACTACCCAACTTATGGATGCGTCAGCCTGCCCAAAGTTACCACACCATTTTGTATTGTTCATCTTCCTTCCCTCTGCCTTGTCTGCTACCGGCTTATATGGCTGGATCTCCCAACTTATGACGCCCAACATGCCATAAATATACATAATAAATAGAGTATCAAAATTGTATACTCTGATTCTCTTTGTGATGACGGCTCATGACTTGACCACACCAACTTATGGTGCGAATTGTCTCGCCTGAAACAATAAAGCATAAGACTGAGTCACACCAACTTATGGTGTGGTCAACTTATGCCTAAACAATTGACGTAAGGCGTATGACCGGGCCCCAGCAACTTATGGTGAGACTGGTCAGCATAAACTTTCGGCATACACAAAGAACATGACTACCTCAGCTTATGAGGAACCCAACCTTGCCTGAACAACCACGAAAGGCATATGACCAGGCACAACAACTTATGTTGTGCCTGATCAGCCCATACAGTTACATACAGCAATAGAACTAGGCTACCCAACTTATGGGTAATCTAGCCTGCCAAATAACAAATAGAACAGATGCGATCGACTAAGCAGTCCGCAACTTATATGTTCGCCCAGCCTTCGTCACATAATTACAATCGTCGTGTTGTCTGAATTCAATCAGTTAATTTTAATTATCAATAAATACTTGTTTATTCTACAAAGCAATGTCCTGAACTTAAACAAGCAAATCAATCAGATATCCTTTCCAGTCATACTTACAGTCAGGTCAGTAGCAATATGATAATATAGTTTAACGATAGGATCACACGCGTAAATCGAGGGTTATACCTGAGTGTTCCCTGCCTCCAGAACCCCGCCTGGGCTCCGGCAGAGCTCCCGCAATCGGTGGGGCGAACCTCCCAAAGAGGCCTTGGTGCGGTCCTACGGGTTGCAATCCCGCTTGCCGCCTTCCTCTCGTAGCCTCAGACTAGACTGAGACTGAGAAGGATAGAAGTAGAAATGTTCAGTCTCTCGAGATGCAAGAGGAGTGCGCTCAATCTCACTGGAGAGGGCCTCGTTACCTTGATGCGCCTGAGGGCCCCGCAATGATGGCCAAATCACACAGCCTCTAGTCGAACTGAGCTCAATCTTCCGGCAACCAGTATTCTGACCAGGCCTCGAGTTACAGCGATAACCCCCCCTCACAGCCTGGGATAGTTCAGTAGTGATAAGTAATAATATGTAGTGACTAACAACGACAGTCCGCACGCGACAGGAGTTCTCAGCAGTCCGTATCCACTCTATAGCAGCAGCTCGTGCCCCATAAGCAGCCGCTTGGTCAGAAAGAGTCAAACTGTCAGCTGTCAATTCTCCAATTCGCAGTTACAGTCCCACTTGCAGCAATAACCCCTCTTGCATAGGCTGCCCACTCCTGCAGCAAAGGCACCAGCCAGCAGGTAAGTTGCAGTCCCTGCGTTCTTGCCCCTCACCGCCCAGTCAATTGGTAAGTCTGTAGCACCAACACTGGCTCATAACTGCGCTAGTTGAAAGGGTGGTTAACACCCTGGTCACTAGACCGGTCTGCAGCTCCCGCAACTGGCCTGTCACAACCCGGCTTTAAAACAGCCTGCCGATGCGGCGGCTTCCTATACCTGTAGTAATAGACTACCCGGTAACAGCACCGCATCCGCAGCCACAACTGCACGCCTACTGCAGGCGCAGACAGCCCAACAGAAACCGGTGTCACAGCAGCGGTAATACAGCCATCTGAGCAGCCATCTGTTCCGAACACCCTCCAGCCACAGCATGCCGCTCTCCCAAGATCGGCCGACGTAGCATAGTTCCTGTAACTCCACTACCTTGCATTAGCCTTTCAGCAGCCTGGCAGCCACAACTCACAGGTTCGTGGCAGCAACCTTCCCCTACCCCTTAAAGGTATTATGAGCTCGTGACTACAACTAGTGAAACCTCTCCGTAGTAATGGTCATGGTGACACAACATCAGAACGCAGCAAGCGCCCAGTACGTATGGTAACCCTCAGTCTGCCCTGCAACAACGCCTCGCAACTCCCATCGGAGTCTCTTATAGCGCCCTTAAATCCGGAATAGTCTGCCATCTTCCCAACTTCAATAGTCATGCCCACACTCAACCATCTCGTCACAGGTCCCTGCTGGCGGACGACATATTGACTGATAAGTTTTTTTTTTTTTTTTCTTTCACATAGTCGCACCCTGAGAATTTACCTGGTCGTAGGCGTGGCCAGGTTGGGTGACTAACACGCAAAAAAAGAAAAGGAAAAATAGAGCGGAGCCCCACAACTTGGGATCAAGTAACAGGTCACTCAGACTGGCACG